ATTAAAATACAATATTACCTATACTTGTGATTATTATTTTTTTTTTAGAAATATTTTGTTTGTTTATGAAATAAAATAATAGCATTATGAATTTATTTATCTAGTTAAAATTACTTATCGAATAACAATATGATCATTTATAATATGAAAATAAAATTTTTGTTTATTTGATTTTGTTTACTACATAATATAATAGAATATTACTTATTAAATATCAAAAAATTATATTCATTTAACTTGGTTATCAACAAAAAAAAATGTCAAACATTTTTTAAAAAGAATTATAATTTATTTATTTAATAATAGGAATATTTATTTTGTTTAACAAATAAGATAACCTTACATTTTTAAAAAATATAATACATTTATAAGCTATTAAATTTTATTATCTAATTAGATTTATTTTGTTTGTTTGTTTATTAAACAAGACATAATAAATATTGTTTAAATATAAATATTTATTTATTATAATTTATATTCTGTTAACTCAAAAAGATAAAAGAATTCCATTCATTTAACATTGCTATTTAAAAGAAAAAAAAATAATATTAACGTCTCTTAGTTATTAAATAAAAATAAATATAGTTTGTTATAATTAAAAAATTATTATTTAATTTCTTAAATAATATAAAAAATTATTTACATAATTAGTTATTTATTTATCTAATACAATAATTGTTTGGTTTTTGATTTAAATGAAATAATAGAAATCTATTATTTTTTAAATATGATGATAAAATTATACTTTTTAAAATAAGGTATATTTTATAATTATTCTTTTCTTGATTTATCATAAATAAAAGAAGTATTCTTTTTTTTTATTTATCATATTTAACACAATAATAATTATATTTTTCTTTTGTATTAAATAATATAATTACTTTTACAATTAAACACCTGTTTAATAATTAAATTATACTTTATCTAAAAAGATAATAAAATTGTACTTCAATAATATTTATTATTATTTAGTTATTTAATAATTATTATTTATTTAGGTATATAATAATAATTATGAATTTTTTTTCGCCTAATAAGTTATCTAATAAATAAAAATTTACTTTAGTAATTGAGATTATTAATTAAAACAACAATTGAAATCTTAAATTCTTCATTGAAATAAATACAAATATGGATTATATATTATAAACATATACGTATATAACAATGTATAATAATTTTTTTTTTTTAATAATTTTTTTTAGAATAACAAAAAATACTTTTTGTTTTATATATTAAAAAAAATATAGTTTTTCTTGATTGACCGTCATTTTTTTTTCTTGTAACATTTTTCTTTTTAAAACATTTTTTTAATTACACATTTTTTCAAAAATATATTCATAAATATCATATATTTATATATATTATACAATAAAAATTATATATTCTAATAATTAAATATACAATCATATATTCTAATAATTAAATGTAATTATATATTTGAATAATTGAAATTTTAATATTCACAGAAAAATAAATTTCATTATTAAATATCTTTTTTTTATATATATGTACAATAATTATTACATTTAATAAATAAATATATCTCTAACTTTTTTAATAGATTAATTAAATACATTTTTAAATTGTATTCATTATCACTTATGCTAATACATTTTCTACCAATTTCATTGTAAGAATATATTATTGAATTCATAGTGGAAAAAAATAAATTTATTATGTCTTTTTTCTAAATGTGTAATCTATTGTGTGTTATTATAAGTTAATTTTTACATAATCTAAATCTTCAAGATTTTCTAAATATTTTTTTAAAAAAATTATTGAGATTTACTATTAAAATTTTAAATCTTTAATTTTAATGTTAGATTTTTTCGCTTTTAATAATAAAGATATTAATTTATGTTATTACCAAAACATAAACACAAATAAATTTTAGATTAATAAAAATTCAATAATTATGTTATAAATACATTTTTTTTAAAATTCATAATGAATGAATATTTTTATTATTCTCCAAAAAAAAAATTAAGATTGTTTTTCAAAAAAAGTATTAAAAATAAATATTATAACTTGTTTTTTAGTTTTTTATTTTATTTTAATATAATGTTATAATTTATATATTTATTAAGAATATAATATTAGTTGTCTTTATAAATATTATTTTCCTTTTTTTTTTTTTTTGAACGATAAAAATAATTACTATGACTAAAATTTAAATGAATATCTTATAAAATATATATTTATTAAATTCCCAGTTGACGCCGTCTTTTCCTAGAAACTGGTTGCTTAAATCTAAAGCAAAATTTAAAAACGCTAATATTTTCAGCAAAAAAATTTAAATGACATATTTGTACATTTAACTTGTCTAATATTACATATAAAAAGGGTATCATATCGATTGAAATTTCAATAAATATTATTACAATATTTATAATAATAAATTATTTAAAATAATGTTAGGATATATTTTTATTTGTAATTTTTTTTTTAAAGAATATAAAAAAATTATTTGTTGTTTTTAAAAAAAAAACTAACTTTGTGAAATACATTTAGAAAAATAATATTAAAAAAATTAAATACTAGTTTTAAAATAATATATTTTAAGAATATTAAATCCTATAATTTTAAAATAATTTATGGTGATTCATAAAAATACACTATATTTTCTAATTCATAATAATAACTAATTAGATTACTATTTGTTATAAATACATGGAATTATAATTTTTTCAACTACTTCTATTTTATAAATATTAAAATAAAATAATCACATTTTAATAACATTATTATAACTATTTCTATTATAATGTTCTAGGAAATTAAATCTAATAAATCCTAAATTCACGCCGTCACACTTTAACAAATATCTCGAAAAATCTCTGATACTGATAAAAACGAATTTTTGCCTGTGGCCTTAGATTTCCTATGTCCTTGTGATTGGCTAACTTACAATTGCGCAGATGCCTCTATCTTCTTAAAGCGGCGCATCTCTTTGCTTTGATCTTTGTTTGATTAATAATGAATGTATCCCTGAAATATACAGTATATATATATATATATATAGCTCACGTATCTCAGGCAATCATTCTCTGGATGCAGAACTAAACAAACGTATAGGAAAGGCCTCTGCTATGTTTGCAAATCTCACAAAGAGAGTCTGGTCAAACAAAAAGCTAACTCATAATACAAAAATGAAGGTTTATGAGTCTTGTGTCCTGAGCACATTACTGTACGGCTGCGAATCCTGGACTCTCTATGCTCCACAGGAAAAAAGACTGAATACCTTCCATATGCGCTGTCTGAGACGCATCCTTGGTATATTATGGCGAGACCTTGTCTCCAACGAATGTGTGCTCACAAGAGCAAAAATACCATCAATGTATTGTATACTGAAGCAAAGACGTCTGCGCTGGCTGGGACATGTCTCCCGCATGGAGGATGGTCGTATTCCAAAAGATCTCCTATATGGTAAATTAGTAACTGGGAATAGACCTACAGGAAGGCTAAAGCTGCGCTATAAAGATGTATGCAAACGTGACCTAATAGATACCAACATAGGCACAGAGACATGGGAAAAATCAGCTGCAGATCGACTACTATGGAGACAGAAAGTGAAAGACGGACTGTCACATTTTGAAAGAAACCGAACACAACGAGCTGTGGAGAGGAGACACCGGAGAGTAAAACTGCCTCACAACATGGGAGTATCTGCTTTTGTGTGTATCCTGTGTGGCAAATGCTGCCATTCCAGCATCGGACTTTACAGTTACAGAAAATGCTGTTCCTAAAGCCAGCGGCACATCTCCATAGTCCCCCGGGACTGACGGTGCCATTATATATATATATATATATATATATATATATATATATATATATATATATATATATATATATATATATATATATATATATATGAAAATACAATATACAGTAATTGACACCTGTGTGAAAATTAGTTCGCATGTGCAGATTCCCTACTCAGTGAAACGAATGGACTTATAGGAAGACTTATGCTGGAGATTAGAATCTGACAGTGAAAAACGTTTGACACTAGAGCATTCTGATGTTTTGAAAAGTTACTCTCACTCAGTTTACTCAAATTACTTAAAGCATGCTGATGATGATGATGATGACTATAAGATTGCTGTTTGTTTGCTTAGAATAATAAATTTTTTATTTAAATGCCACAAATAAGCCAAAATGAAAACGAAATATTTGTTAACATTTAAAGAAAATTCTTGCAAGAACATTATTATTAACAGTGAGCTAGACAGATTTCAACAACTTACGCCGAACAGTTACTGGGTTACACATTTTCGGCAGGACTTTTGAAACGCACTATAACCGCTATCTTTAGACACACACATAGCCACAGAAGACCCTGACACATAGTCCATTACCTTCTCCTGAAAGACTCATAACAGATTCCTTGCTGATCAAGACAGACAGACAATAGTTGACCCAGGAATATTCTGCATCACATACTATTAGCTAATGCAATTACAGTGCCATTTTGTTTCAATTATTGACAACCTGCTTACAAATTCATGTAGAGAGCTTGTTAAACAGCCTGCCATTGGGGTAAAACAATTCTAAGTGTGGATTTCGTAGCCCTATTATTGGATGGGGTGGAGAATAAGCCATTGCCTTCCTAACACGCATGTCTTAGCTACCGTTTCTTCGAAGTCAGAGTGCAGCTGCCTTACAAACGAGGAACCAACAGTCTGCATACAAAAAAGCTAGATCTCTTAAACAGATTTGCACAAAGTTCTCACGTTTTGGAGCCAGAACAACGCCCAGAAGTGAATGAACAGCCAGAAAGTATCACTAAATTTAGAGACGATGAACGTCAATAAAATAGGAAGTTATGAATGTGATAATTTTACCAAAGAAGCTCATTTAAAAAAACAAAACTGTATACTTCTCTTTATATTCAAAACAAGTATTCGTTAACTAAAAAGATATAAAACTGACTATTGTTTTAAAGTCTCAACGTGTGTTTTATAATGTTCATCAATGCCTGCTTACTACTGTTTCAGCTGTGTTATGTCTCGTTGCTTACAAGTGATTGCATTTATCCAAATCGTACCATCCATCGATGCTACTGCAAGGATAAAAACTTAGCTACAGGGGAGGTTCACTTTGTGGTGAATCTCACAGCAGAATTAATAATAAGCGAAACAGCCATCAATATAAGGCGGCCAATTACCAGCGGTGCAGAACAGCTATTGTCTAATAACAATGTAACCTTGCCGAAAATATATGGTGAGTATTCTTTTGAAAGCATGTTTTAGGTACAACCTTATGGTAATTACTTCTGCCCTTTTTGCCCCGGTTGAATCATCAACCTTAACCAACTTATTAGAAATCGTCCTATCGCTATCCTTTACCACCCCATTTATCTTACCCCGTGTTCTCCTTATCTTTTCACTTTACTTTCAGTATCTCCTCTTCTCTGTGCGGTTTCTTTATCTTTATCCCTTGACCCAGTCCTTTCCAATGCAAGACATTCTATGAGTAAGAAGAGCTCCACGGCGGGAGCAAGCACAGCAGGAGTCTACAGTTCATCAGTAAAAGGGTCCCTCGTCGACAATTGTTTCGACCCACTATCCTCATAGACATTTTTTAAAGTTGGGCCAACGTGGTTAGTGACTCCAGGCCTCGCTTAGACTGCGCTTAACGGACGTTTGGACAAGACGTCCAGGCCTCAGACTTCTCCTGCTGCGCTTAACGGACGTTTGGACAAGACGTCCAGGGCTCAGACTTCTCCTGCTGCGCTTAACGGACGTTTGGACAAGACTAAATAGTGGCTTTGCAGCAGGTATTGTGAGGTTTGGTATTGTATACTAAGTTAATGCAGAGAGAAAGAAAGTGCATGTGATATGGTTGAACACAAGCTATTGTAACAGGCACTTAGCATGTTCCACGTACCGACACACCTCACCCACATGATTGAGCAATCTTCCTCAGAGTTGGCCAGACGCTTTTCTAACCCAAAGTTTACTACGAGATGGACTGAGCTCCAGGTTGGGATAGCAATGGGTTGAACAATTTCTCTGATACTGTTCGTTATGGCCATGCAGGTTATGTTAGATGGGGCGGCCGGCGTCGGTTAAGGCCTTTAAACTGGGGACCAATGGATGCCACCACTACCTACATTTCTGGATGATACAACTATGATAACAGGCGGTGAAGATCATGCCCGCGTATTTCCGGAAAAGCTGGATCGAGTGGTTGAATGGTATGGCAACCAATTGCAGCCTTAGAAGTCGAGGAGTCTGTCAGTTCATAAAGGTAAGGCTGTGTCAACCAGTTTCACGGTGTCAAAGGAAATGATTCCCACGGTCCTGGAGGAACTAGTGAAGATTCTTGGCCGTGTCTATGATTCAAAGGTATCTGATAGGATGAAAGTATACACGAATGACTGACAAGCGGCCTGCTTGCTATCGAGCAGTAAAGTCGACAGGGAAGTTCAAGGTTTGGTGTCTCCGTTTCAGGTTGATTCCTTAGCTCCTCTGACAGCTACTCGTGTACGAGGTAAGTATGAGTGCAGTGGAGACTATAAAGAACAAAATCAACACAGCCTTGAGGAAGTGGCTTGGACCGCCGCCTGTCTGACCAAAGTTGCTTTATATTGTAAGCAGGCTTAGCTGGTACTTCCGTTCGAATCAGTAACCCGAAAAGTTTAAAATCTACAAGGTAAGACTCGTAATGATGCTGCGCGAGTCTTCAGACCCCACAGTGGCCGCTGTCCAGCCCCCTTTAAAGACACGTACGAAATGGAAGCTCGAAAAGCACTACAATTGAAGGACGTCATGAGTTACATACAAACCGACAGACGCGGCCTAGGGGAAGGAAAAGTCACTTGGTGATCCAAAGCCTAGGCTAAGTACATAGAAACATGGTAATACAATATATCAGGGACTCCGATTCGGGTCCAAAAAGCAGTCCAACAGTCGCTGCAAGGCCAGTCGATCGGCCTTGAGAGTGCCTTGCCACGAATACTTACAGAGGGTGCGATCTGGCGAGTGGCCACGCTGCGGCTGAGTTTTGCCATAGGATCTTCTTATGATGTGTTACGCTTGACTCCAACATGGCCAAGTGGCGAGCAACCATTGACCCGACATGTCCCTTATGCAGAGCTAAAGAGACGCTCGAGCACGTTTTGTCCGCGTGTAGGCCAGGAACGATATACTTTACGCCACAATAAAGTCCAGAAAAAAAAGCAGCGGACATTGTGGACAAAGCTAGGAGGATGATGACTAAATCTAGGACTATTCCTAATGTCTCTACCATGCTCTTCCTCAAGACTGGACAGACTCCTAAGAGTAAAGTCAACAATTGTGCATATCCTCCATCGATACTTGACTGCGCGGGGGATTGCTTACTGGCCGTCGACCTGCCTGGTTTCGAAAAGTGCCCAAAATCAATCCGAAAGACCGGCCCAAGGCAAGACATGGTACTGCAGTCTGTAGGAAAAAGCCAACTCATCCTGGTAGAGCTCAGCCTGACGTACGAGTTGCGGATGGAAGAAAATCACCTGTACAAGCTCAAAAGGTACGATGAATTAGTGAACAGTCTGTGGAGAGATGACGCGTACACAGTAAAACTCCTCGCTGTTGGGGTTCGCGCAAGAGGGCTTATCTCCACTTCATCATAAAGTGCACTAAAGCACATGGGCTTGCGAAAACAATAAACGAAAACAGGCACTAAAACAACTGGGCAAAGCAGCTGAAAGAGCTTCGAGCTGACTGTAGTCGCAAGGGAACGTCGTGGGAGATAGACCTCGGTAGGCTGGTTCGAGCTCTAGCGAAAAGGAACTTTACAGCCCTTTAAAGCCAAAGTTTCTCTCTGCCAATCGCCAAAGTCTAACACCTGTTCGATAAACCAACCGTAAGCTTGTCACTCTGGTCGTGAAGGTTTTAGCATAATTTGCTACAGCGGCGACAAATATAACACCAATTCTCACAATACCTGTTGCAAAGTCACCATTTCGTCTGGTCCCTTTCCGAGAGTCCGATTAAGTGCAGCAGTGAAGGATCGATGCCTGGAGTCAAGACTGAGATCGGCCCACCTTCTAGATTGTTCAGGAAGTAATGAGCTGAAGCAATCGTCGACGACGGATTCTTCCACTGATGGTCAGTGGACCGCTGCTGTGCATTCTCCTCTGTGGTGTTCTTCTTCCGATTATTATTAATGTCTATACGGTGGCAATTAGGCCGCCTACCTTCACAACCAGAGTGACAAGTGCATGGTTGGTTCATTGACAACTGGCCTTTCTGTGACTGCTGGACTGCTTTTGGGACCTGTACCTCGTTTCCGGAGTCCCTTATCTGCTGTGCTACCACGTCTCTGCGTTATTTGGGCAAGGCTTTGGACCACCAAATGGCTTTACCTTGCCCGAGGCCGCGTCTGTCGGTTTGTGTGTAACCTATGAATTCCTTCAATTTCAGTACTCTCTGAGATGTTTCTATGGCATCTTCGACCTTCCATTTCGCACACGTCTTTAGAGCTTGCTGGGCAGCGGCTACTAAGGGGTCTGCAGTTTTCTCAACATCATCGCGAGCCCAGCCTTTCCGACTTTAAACTCTTCGGGACACGATTTGAAAGAAAGCACCAGCTTTGCTTGCGTACAAGCCAGACAAGGTGGCACACCGAGTCATTTCCTCGAGGCAGTGTTCATTTTCCGCTCCATTGCTTTCACTGCGCTCGTGTTAACTTCGTACACTAGCAGCGGCCAGAGGAGCTTTTGGATCAGCATGAATTGGAGACACAACGCCTTTAGATTTATGATCAGCCTGACCTCTGTAACTAGTAGACCTGTTGTCAGTGACTCGTGTATACGCTAGATTTCTTTCCTGTCAGACAGCTTCGAATCGGAAACGCAGCCGAGCTCTTTATGGGTTCCTCCTGAACCGTGGGAATAGGATTGCTTACCACTATGTACCTGGTTGCAACACCTCTACCTTTACCGATGGAGATACTTCTAGACTCTTGAGGCTTGAGCTGCATGTTGCACCATTCGACCATGCATTCCTGCCTCTTCAGAATAGAATAAGCAGGATCCATACTGCTTGTTTTTGTAGCTGTATCGTTCATAAATGATTTCAGTGGTGGAATTTTTAGGTTGTCTGTGACTAGTGATGCCAGGAAATGATCTCTCAAATATTTCCATGTCCTTCTGCCAGTAGCACTCATTTCCCACCGTCTTTTACATATGCCTATAATATACTGATTAATTTGACTCTTCGCTTCGGATTTTCCTATGCCTGTTTTTCTTATATTATGGCAGCTGGTGCCTCTTTTTGTAAAAATATCCGCCTCTTCATTACCAACTATACTTTTATGGCAGGAACCCATGCTTTTGTTATTTAAATCTGTGTTTCTGTTATAGTCTGTTCAGCAGTTTGACGATTTTTTTGTTTTGTTTTGTTCGGCGGCCGATACCTCGATTTTAAAAAATTTAAAAATGCCTAAGAGACCACAGTAACAGCTTTTAGTTTTAGACGGTAACGCAAAGAAACCTGGCCAGCCATCAGTTTACAAATGACCTTGCTCAGCCTTTTAGCGGTCTATTTGGCTGTCGCTCTGTGGTCGACCCGGTATGGTCAGACGCCCTGTCTGCCGTTGTTTGACTGCACTTAGTCTCAACGCACAGGTGCGTCAGATCCGACCGGCTGAGCGTTGCTAGACTGGCTCGTGTTCGCGATAATTTTAATGTGGTGTTAGATTTGATTTTCCTTGTGCATCCTCGCTAGGAGATAGTTTAATGGCAGGTCACTATAAGTGATTTGTTGTTCTGGTGGCATATTGAAGCCTAACGTACATGTTGAATATGTTTAGGTTTTTGCCATTGTTGAGGTAATCTCGCTGAGCGCTTGGTGTCATTATCATATTTCCTTGTTAGCTGGAGATGATTAGCACTTTACATTCTGCCTCTGGTCGAGCACGTTGGTTGTTGTTATTTGTGAACCACGCTGAATTATGTTAAATGAAATAAACAGATGCTCAATATGGTAATCATAATTCCTGTTGTTTCTGGTACAGATTAGGACTTGTAGTTAGTGTGCCTAGTTTATTTGTTGCATGTCTGATCTAGACTATACACAGAAGATCTCTTGTCTGGGTTAGAATATTTATGTTTCTAGTCCCCGCCTAACAAACTCTGTTTCTTTATTTTTTTTTCTTGGTACATAGGACTTAGTAGTTAGTTAGTAAGTTAGTTAGTTAGTTAGTTAGTTAGTTAGTTAGTTAGTTAGTTAGTT